CAAAAACATAACCAAATTTAATAAAAATTTTTTTAAATAATTTTTATAAACTTGTAAAATTAGTTTAAAAAAAATTTTATCAAATTTGAACAAGTTTTTGTTAAGTTATTCTTGTTTAAAGTTTAAAAAAAATTTATTAAAAAATATTTGCTTGATTTCTATTGACTTAACTTTATATAACTATTATAATTATTAGGTGATGGAACTGAAGTAACATGATTAGGTAATGGTTCTAAATTATCAATATTGTCAGATAAAGACTAAAAATAAATAAATTAAGAATCAAAAAAAAAAGATCTTCTTTAGTATAGGTGGGTAATATAGAAATATTATAAGATTATAATATAAAAAACTCTAACCCTAACCTTAATCTAACTATAAATTATATTATAACTCTCACTCTAACTCTAACTAATCTCAAATTTGCTTAAATTAGTTCAAATAGCTATTTTTATATATTATAATCTTATATTATTTCTATATTACTCACCTATATTAAAGATTAACCAAAAAAAGTATATACTATAATTAGTTAGTAATAAATAAATTACTTTAATTAATTTTATTACTAGACTTATTATTATCCAAGTCTTATATTATAATCACTAAAAAATTTGATTGTATCGGGAATTTTCTCTTTGTTGAAGATATTATTTATATAAAGTTTATTAATTAAAGAGCAATCACCATGGGGCTTGTCTTTATAAACCAGTTTATAGAGTATTTTTTTATATGATCTATACTATAAATTGTTTATAGCTACTACAACCAACCTTAAGCCAAATAACTAGTTATTTCTGCTAGTTGTTTTATGCTACTTTTCTAACTTTTGCTTCAAGATACTATTGGCATATTCTACTAAACTTTGTGATTAAGAATGCTTGAAATATCTGTTAATAATTTTTACTAATAGTCATAATTCCATTAATTCCTTAATTACTTGTGCTACAAACTTCTTTCTATTATTGAACTAAAGTACTATATAGTTGGAGATAATCTAATTATATAGAAAAAATTAAAAAGATATGCTGCAACTTTAATCACTCTCTTGAATATTAGAGATCTAGTCTATAAGAAATAACTGAAGTGGTCTTTTATATAATATATATACTTAAACTCTTTATCTGAAATATAGAATAGATTGATCAAATCCATTTACAAAATATAAAATAAAATAAATATAGTTAAAAAAAAATTTTTTAATTTTTATTTTTAAAAATGTAAAACTTGTCTGTATATGAAACAAAAAGTTTTTTGCAATAATTAGTTTTGCTACCAACAGATAGAATACTAGTTTTCAGGCTATATATATAGTGTGATTATTTATAAATTTTTCTACAATCTCTTGTTTAACTAACCTCTACTTCTTATGAATTGATTTCCAGGTCTGTTTTTGATTACCATGTTGTATTATTATATTATGTATATGACAAAGAACTTTATAAAATTTTTTAGTTATTAGTACAGAATTATTTATTGCTTTTAAAATTACTTTGTAGTCTTCAGATATAATTTTTTCAAGTCTGAATTTTTTTTTAGCCTAGTTTCGCATATTCTTATTATAAAGTGAGATGTTTTTGGGGTTTAATAGAATGTTTTTTATTTTATTTAAAAGTTTCTAATTAATTAAAGCCTTGTTTTGCTTTGTATTTAAAAGGCTAGTTATATAATTTTTTAAAATTTAATCAAGAGTGCTTCTACTAATAAACGTATACACTATTTTAGAGGTATAAGGTAGTAAAAAAAAAAATTATGCAAAAAAAAAAATAATACCAAGATACCAAAAACAAATTAAACACCAAATATATTAAGATACCAAGAACAAATCCAATATCTAATATATTAGTAGATGCCAAGAACAAGTCTAATACTTAATATATCTGTAGATACTAAGGACAAATCTAATATTTAATATATTAGTAGATAACCAAGAATCTAATGTTTAATACTGTATATTAGTAGGCACTAGAAATAAATCAAATGCCAAACATGTTAAGGCACTAAAAACCCAATACCCAATATATTAATAGTACCAAGAACAAATTTAACATTCAATATATTAGTAGATATCAAGAACAAATCTAATATCTAATATATTAGTAGGTATTAAGAACAAATCCAATATCTAATATATAGTGAGTACCAAGAACAAATCCAATATTTAATATTAGTAGATGACCAAAAATCCAATATCCAATATATTAGTAGAAACAAATTAAATACCAAATGTATTAAGATACTAAGAACCCAACACTTAATATATTAGTAGTATCAAAAACAAATCCAATATTTAATAAATTAGTAGATACCAAGAACAAATTCAATATTCAATAAATTAGTAGACACCAAGAACAAATTCAATATCTAATATATTAGAGATACCAAGAACAAATCTAATATCTAATATACAATACAGTAAGTACCAAGAACAAATCTAATGTTTAATATTAGTAGATAACCAAGAATTTAATGCCAAAGTATTAGTAGACACCAAGAACAAATTAAACACCAAATATATTAAAGCACCAAGAACAAACCCAATATTTAATATATTAGTAGACACCAAAAACAAGTTTAATATCCAATGTATTAGTAGGCATCAAGAACAAATCAATGTCAAATATATCATAGACACCAAAATTCAATATTCAATATATTAGTAGGCACCAGAAGCAAATCAAATATCCAACGTATCAAAATTATATCACGTGTTGCTGTTCCTCTTCTGCTAAATTAGAACAAATAAAAAAAAAAAAAGCACCTTCATGTGATTATATGCCGTTGTCGTATAGTGGCAGTACATCGCGTTGTGGCCGCGCTAGCCCAGGTTCGATTCCTGGCAACGGCAAGTTTCCTTCTTTTTTTTTTCTTTTTTTCCTTTTTTCCTTTTTTTTTTTTTTTTTTAAAAAAGTAATTAGTGATTATCCTGTTACCTTTATTCCTTACAATGTCATATCGGTCATTTTCTTTCTTTCTATTTTTCGTATATATTCTTTCGACAGCGATAGTATGGGGCATAAAATTTGATCTTCCAGCAGCACTAGAACATAGTGTAGTGCCAAAATGCATCTCGCAATACGTAACTACCAATACACTTGTAGTTGTAACAGTAAAGGTTGGAGTTGGGTATAATCAAAAAATAGATGTCGAGGTAAAGTGAGCAAACCTTGAATTAAATATTTTTGACGTGCGGCGGGTCATTATTAAAAATAGCACTTTCGTAAAGGTAACTGATAATAGCGATGCGAATAACAAATATGGTCACAAACGGGATATCAACGAAGAAACTCGTTTGGCTTTTACAACACATGCTAATGCGGATATATCAGTTTGCTTTACAAATACATTGGATGAAGGTAAGTTTTACGAATTATACATTTTTATTAAGCTGTTCATCAAGCTTAAATACTATTATTTAGTTGTTTATCAAGCTTAAATACTATTAAGTCGTTCATCAAGTTTAAATACTATTATATCTTTCCATAAAAGAGTTCCAACCCAATCCGCAATATCATCGTATGATTGACCTGGATATAGACATAGGAGCAGAAGCTATAGATCCTAATCAATTCGAAAAACTGAAACCTATGGAAGCCGAACTTCGAAAATTGGAACAAGTGGTGCAAGAAATCGTAGACGAAATGGATTATCTACGGCAACGAGAAGCTAGAATGAGAGATACAAATGGTATTTTAATTCCTAGAATTACTTTTTTTTTTTTAGAATATTCAACGCACTAATATTGATATCAATTAATATCAAAAGAATCTACAAATGAACGTGTCAAGTGGTTCAGTCTTGGCACCATGTTTGTGCTTGTTTGTTTAGGTTTTTGGCAGATTGTCTATCTCAAGAAATTCTTCCAACGAAAAAGATTGATTGATTAATTATTATTTTCGAATAATGTATTTTTTTATTGCGGGCTTTTTTTTGATTATATAATAACTTTTAAAAAAAGATAGATTGTAATTAAATTTTAATGGAAATAATTTTAATAAAGTTCTTTGTAACAACTTTATCTTAATAATTTATTCATAAAAAAAAGAAATTTTTTGCTTTACGGTAATGGTATTTAAAAAGCTAAGTTAGTATGTGGCATTATACTTATGTCCAGGGTCTCATTATGCTATATCCAAGAAAAGTATATAAACATTTATCGACTTTACTAATTAATACATGTAAATGGGCTGGGAAAAGGGACGAATTTTTTTGACAAAAAATAACATGTACAAAAATTAGTTTAGAACTTCATTTTCGAAAAAGACATAATTTTATCCGTTAGTTAGGCCAAATCTGAAATTAAAATGCCATTTCAGTAGTGTTACAAGCCATAAGGTTTTTATCGGCTGGCTTAGCCAGCCGATAAAAAATTCAGCTTAGCGGCTGGCTAATG